GTAAGGATTAAATCTTACTTATAGCATGCCCGCAAGGCATCTTAGCTCTCTTGTTTTCAGGATCATCATCCCACGTGATCATATCCGGGTCATTGCTCAGTTCCACTGCGTCATCCAATTCTTTCTCTGGTGGAATTGATTGTTCAGATCCACCGAGTAGACGAAGAACCAAGAAGACGTTGGACTCATTTTGAACTCCGTAATCTGACAAACGTTTACCTATCTCCAATTGTTTTGTGGTATAAATTGCGCGCATTTGGTCCACCGGTATGCCCTTCTTTTGAGAAATCATGGTAAAGAATTCCTTGACCGTTGCATCCTAAGTTAAAGAAGAAAACATTTTGAGACTTGAGCTGGCGTGAATGTAAACTTTTGCGTTTTACTTTTGACAGCCACCTTACCTTGTGAATATTTATGGTAGTAATGTCTCGTCTTATGCCGTACACGAATATTTGGATTAATCCCGGTGCCATCGAGTATTGTATATCTGCAGAGAAATAATGAATCAAGATTTACTGGGCTTGAACTTTGGTAAACTATACAATCTTTAGAAAGCGTGCTCACCTTCGATGCTCACTCACAACCCAATAAACACGCGACCAGAGACTACACGATCTTGCCCACACATCAACTTTGGTGAAACTGAAAGTTTTTAAGGTGGATGATAATAATATAGCCCCATACAAAGCAGTGATGTCACGTATGGGATAATCCCCAAGTTGTACTGTCGTGACCCACTGGATTTCGAATATTGAGAGAAGCATGCACAACTTAAAACACCTATTCTGCCTCCTATTTATATCCTTAAATAAGTGTGCCTTTTATTTTGAACTCGAGTTTCTTCCTATTCGTTAAAAGACAATTACTTAGATATAAGAATTTGAGAATATACAATGATTTGCACTCGCACTACGTAACCAAACTCTTTCGAACTTTATCTCGCTTACTCTTTCCTTTCCACCCTCAGCCAAGTTCTTTGTTGCATTCTAGTTATTCTTTAATTTTTATTTCTTCTCTCTGAGAAAACAGTCATGTATTTTGAAGGATTCTGTGGCCCACGTTTTGTATGAAACATTCAGTGAATAAGTGGCGTGACTTTTGTTATGCGTGAGATCATTTTCTAGGAAAACAACGAAGGGGATTTACCTACGGGGGTTTTCCCATTCGCACCTGCAAACATGAAAAGAATAGGGAAATTAGCTAAAAATTAACAGAAGCAGAGGACAATTTGTATTTGGCACTGCGATACATATAATGAATCTCAGCAGATTTCCACCATGTTCAGTCTGAAGAAGCGTTACCTTATCTTTCTGGATGAACACACGGTGAATTCATCCGGAAAGATAAGGTAGCGCTTCTTCAAACTGAACATGGTGGAAATCTGCTGAGATTCTTCATGTGTATTGCGGTGCCAAATACAAATTATCCTCTCCTTCTGTATTTTTTTTCTAATTTTCCTATGATTTTCATTTCAACGTCTTAGCTCTGAAGGGAAATTTCCCTTGCCTTTGTTGACCCTTGTTCTCCTTGGGTTTTTTCCCTGGGAAAATCCCTTAGATTGGGCGTTGTATAAAATTATAATGCTGAACACAAACTGAAACAGACACCAAATGCACAGATAAGTCAGTACTTGCACGCAATGAGCTTGAAGAGAGATTTCATTTCAAGGTGAGAAAACGTACCGTTTCAAACTTATGTATGCCCGAGTTCCGTAGCGAATACTCTTTTATTAGCCTGTAATTGCAGCGACTTTCAAAAGTCCTACTAAGTGAACAATGAAATACCGGTAGTCATTCATAATCTATCAAGCCTGAGACTTACCGTATTCAAAAACACCCACACGCTCTTTTTGTGCTTAACACTGCAAAACCGTGTTACGTGAAATTTTGATCTACTCGGTGCGGACGAAATCAGCTAGTGCGCTTTCGACTCATGTGACTAAGATCTCTAGAATCTGCAAAACGTTTGAAAGATGTGTAAAACTTCCAAAAATGTTGGAAATGAAATAGGGAGTGACTGAGGACAGGGGAAGTAGCCAGATTCAAGTTGGATTGTTAAGGAGCTGCTTTGCTTCGCGGAAATCATTGTGTCTTAGTTGCATGACTTCGCCAGTGTCACATTTTCGATATCGATTCTCTTTTAGGCTTCCATCGTCTAACAGCTCTCCTATCTCATAGGCATTGTACATTTATAAACAAGTCGATGGCACAATTAATTGTGATCTTTTCCTTAAAAGGTGCATGCAACATCTATTTCTTAGGGACTGGTCATTATTTATCGGAAGGGGGGCTGGTGCAAATAGGGGGGCCACCATTTTTTATGCATGGCTTAAAGGGGGGGGGGCATTCAAAAATATGCAAAAGTTTTTGCCAGGAAAAATGTTAAAAGCTGCATCTAGATGCCATTAACAAATACAGCCTATTAAAATAGCTTTATACATAACCACCATAACCTTGGAAAATATGGAACAAAAAAAGTCAAAACTGGAAGCAATTAAAGAGAGTATCATCCAAGAACTTGCTAAACGCATTGAGAGAGAGGAGGATGGGAAGAGTGACAATCAGTCGTATTCTGATTCACTCAGTAGTGAATCAGAAGACGACTCAGAGGAAGAAGACTGTGTCATTGCAGAGATTGGTATTTCAAGCTCTGAAGAGGAAAAGGAGTCGACTGAAGAAGAAGAAATGATTGAGAGCACCGAGAACTTTAATGTGAATACGACAATTGTCTACACACTGTCTGGGAGAAGAGCAACTCAAATCCAAATTTAAGGTAGCTTTAAATAGAATGTCTATCAGTTGGACATGGTGACTTGATAAATAGATACTTTTTGTTTCATGCATGCCCGAGGACAAGGGGGAATGGGAAGGGGGGGTCAGCAAAAATCATGTTAAAGTAAAAGGGGGGGGTCAGCAAAAATGAAGCATGGCATATTTTACATTGCACCAGCCACCCCCCCTCCCGATAAATAATGACCAGTCCCTTAACATAATAAAAGGGCAAGGTGCAAGTAAGTCGTCGAACTCAACTCATAAATAGGAGCCAATGAAAATGTTTGTTGAATTCAGAATTTCAGTGATTTACAAATATTTCAGGGTACAGAAGGAGCTAAAACAAGTGCAGTCCTTGAGGCCTCATGGAATTGAGGTAACACTTCCATCCGACAGTCTCCAGTTATGGGAGGCTGTAGTACCAGGTCCTGAAGATTCACTCTACAAAGGTGAAGAGATTTTATTACTTGGGCATTCTCACATCCTGTATGAGAAAAGTTCTCATTAGATATTTGTGTCTTTCTTTCAGGAGGGCGGTTCAAAGTTCAAGTTTATGTACCGTATCCTTTAGATCAGCTGGCTTTTTATTTGAGGTATTTTGGTGAGGTTTGGGGAAGTGCTACGACTAAGGGCCTTTTCCCAGCACTTCTGTCAGTGACATGACGTCTTGCCGGCAGAGGGAATCAGTCATGTTTTTCTGTGTCGTCGGACATTGTAGCTATATAAAATGTAGGTTCGTACTCTTTCAAACTCAAAATTGACCGATTTGCTTTTTCAATGCATTTTTGAGCAAGCTTTCTATGATTTATGCTTTAGAAAATAGTTTAAAAAAATAAAAAAATCATTGAATTACTTGAATAAATGGACAGAACCGTGGGTAGATATGTTTTTGAAACTTTGCAAACCGTTCAGATTTCAATAGTGAAAAGTGGTGGTCATCAAACTCGCTTATGAGGCACGAGCACATACATATAAATTTATATAGGAGTGTTTATAATGGCTAATCACAACTTGTTCAGAAGTAGCTGAGCATTTTTGAAATCAATGTCGAGGGAACACACGAAAAAGAGTAATGCCATCCATCTGTCAAAGAGCTGGGGCTTAAGAAGTAACGAAACCATTTTCAGCAATATGTTGGGGCGACTCGTTTATCTATGCAACTAAATGTTACTCAATATGATGGTTAACTTAATTGCTATTGCAAAGGCATTGGGGCTCTTGGAACCGTATTATTGTAAACTGTTATCCTTACTATCATTGTTGTTAATCTCTTTGGTTATTTATTTTTATCACTACGACGTTTAATTCTTAACTAATATCTTATCGCCTAAGTGAAAACTACCCTCTTGAACCACCAACGGTAATACTTTGAAATAAATGTTTTACTTCACTGCGAACGACTGACTGTCATAGCTACAAAGAAACTAGTTTCCCGGCCTTCTCGTGATCTTGTTTTCTTATTGAGTTTTGAAATTTTGAAACTAGTTTCACTATTAGTTGCAAAGGTTCTTTAAATGAAACTGTACTACAACATAAAAGCCCTGAGAAGAACTTAAACCTGATTAATCAAAAACAAAAAACAAAAAAATTGGTCTTGCTGCCACACGAATATAGTACATGCATGTAAGCCGCTGCAAAATGATAGCATATCTACTTATTTAGATATTTATTCATTAGCTCTTGCTTTGTTTCTTAGGGTTAGGTAGATAGGAACAAATTTTGTTCTTTGAGATTAATTTCTGATTACACTGCATTAGATCTTTTAATATCATGGTGATCATTACTATACATAGCTGACTACTTGTATTCTGATTTACTAACATTTCTGGTCCAAAAGAGAAGGTCTGAAGACTTAAGGAACAAGAGAATTAGAGGGGACAAAGTTTCTATGGATATTTTTTTTTTATTTCTCACTGCCAGGTACGTTTCCTGCCTCCCATTTATCACATCAATGTGAGTCCATCAACTGGTCACGTGTGCCTGGGATTCCTGACTGGTGAGAACTGGTTACCAACCCGTTGTATTAGTGATGTATTGAGTGGTGTGTTTGCTCTACTTATCAAACCTGAGCCAGAGAATGCTGCTGACCAGACTCTGCTGAATATGTTCCATAACAACAAACTGCTTTATGAAGCCAAGGCCAGATCGAGCGCCCAGAATCGCCAAGATGATCTAACTGCATACATTTAAAAGATAAACGCCAGTCAGACCTATTACTTGAATATTGTAGAAAAATGTTTTTTCGTCTAGTCTGGAGGAAAAAAATCTTTCTACATTTCTTTACCGAGCTCAAAAATTACCATCTTTCTTATTCTTTACTTGAATATTGTTTGTCAAGTTATAACTCTTTTTTGCTGCTAATAGTATTACTAACCCAATCATGTATAGCAATTTTGCAACTTTGACTGAGGTCTGAAACTAATTGACCTTATAAATAAAAGTAGAAATCCTCTTTTCCCTGTCAAATGTTATACTAAGTGAGCGTTTTGCGATTCAAAACTTGTTTCCATTTTCGTATTGCAAGTGCAAAAGTACCTGGAAAGTGGCACGGTATTTCACTCTGATCAGGAAATTTAGTATCTATTTCCCTTCCTGGACGCTGGGTGTCTCCTTTGCAGCTGTTTTTATTTGGCCCTAAACTGCTTGAATTGTAAGTTTGAAGCTTTCCAAGGATTTATCCAAGGAAAAAGCAACATCTTCACCAATATTTGTAACCACGTGATGATAGAATTCCACATGCAGTTATACAATCCTCTGCGCTTGCAATGTATCACATTAGTAACATCAGTGAAACAATTACTGTTACATGGAGAATTCTTTGAATTAATACATTACTTTCAAAGTTATTCCGGGAAGAAACAGTGGACAACTCCACTCGATACTAAGAAGCGGGAAGCGACCATTTTTGTATTTTTCTTTTGTCAAATAGTAAATTAAGTTGTAAAGTAGGTTGTAAGTTGGAATAAAACTATCATCCTCCTCCTCCTCCTAAGATTTTAATGAAACGAGCCTTTTAATTACAGCAAATAGGAGGAAAGATGTCAGTGATTTCATATCATGAGCAATCATCGAGCCCAGCCCGCAAGTGAAGCCCAAACTTAACCAAGGAGACGTTTAAAATATTTTTTTTTTCCCAAAAAGACGTTTACAACCAATCGAAAATAACTTTCTCTATCCCTAAAATAATCACTTTTTTTCTCGAGGGACTTCTTCAAGTCCTTTTCGGTTTCCCTCAAGTACCACATTTGCCCGGTCGCATATGTCCATGTGTGTCAGTCAGTCAGCGGAATCACCACTGACTGTGGTAAGTAACTCATGTATAGGGTATTATTATGTCTCAATACATATTATGTCCTATACTTTACATACAAATGATGTCCTAACACTACATGCAACATACAGGGCTATATACAGCTATACAGAATTACATACAGCTATACAGGGCTATACACAGCTACAAACGGCTATACAGGGCTATACACAGCCACACAGGGCTATACACTGCTACACTGGGCTATACATAGCTATACAGGGCTCTACACTGCCAAACAGGGCTATACACAGCTATACAGGACTATACACAGCTATACAGGGCTATACACAGCTATACAGGGCTATATACAGCTTTACACTCTTACGCACGTTTATTGGATTACATCATGTAATCAGGCTAGCCGACTTGCGGTAAAAACTAAAAAGGAGTGCACGATTTGTCTCAGCTAAGGAAACGAGCTAAACTACAAATCTTACGACAGAAAACACAACTAAAAACTGACAGGGACTCAACGATCGTGACTTACTCATTCCGAGAACACCTTGGCGACGTGGAGAGGAATGACAAGGACACATCGAAACCAGTCGCCAAACATTTTAATTTACCTAATCATTCTAAGCAACATATGGCAATCTGCGGTCTTTCCTTACACTTAGGTAGCACGGAAAGCCGTAAAACTCTTGAACAAAAGCTCATCTTTCAAACCGGCAGTCTAAATCCCACAGG